CCCTACCCCAGCGATCGGCTGATTCAGAGAAACACAGACTGAAATGATAGTTATTAAAGAAAAATACAACTTAATGCTTGTAGTGTTTAGTGTTTCACTGACTTTGCAGGTCTAAAGCTGGTAGTCCGATCATCTATTCAGAGATAACAATACACAGTGTAGCCTCTATGGGGAATCTCCTTCGGAAGATGATAGCCATTGGGAATCCCCTATTGTCTTGTTTTGAAGTCCTGTATTGTTTTTATTGTTTTGTTCTGTTTTTTTTTTTCTTGTTTGATTTTATTATATATGATGGCACAGGAAGCTATTTCAAAGATAACCGGCTACATTACAGTTAGCCATTCTGGATTTCCTAGTGTCTTGTTTTGAGGTCCTATATTGCATTCATCATTTGTTATTATTGCTTCTCTTCTGTTCTGTTTTGTTTGATTGTACTATGTCTGATCGTATGGGCAGCTATTTTGAAGACAAGACGCGTAGTCATTTCCTGTTTTGAAATCCTGTATCACTTACACTCTTTTGCTTGGCTTGGCTTTATTCTGTTTTATTTTGCTTGGTGTTACTCTCTTCAAAATGAAAAATTAAGTAAATAACTTGCATTCCTTCTGACTCAGCCTCCCAGAGGGCGGGATTCCAGACCTGTGCCTGGCCCCTTGAGCTGCCCTGAGCCTCCAACTAAACAATAACAAAGTCCCACGTCTGCCCAGTATGATACAAGTACCCCACTTACAGTGAAAAAATGCTACCCCTCTCCTTATACCTTTTTCTTTAAATTAGGCCCATTTTTCTAACTGATTTACAAAGTGTATCCATTTCCTCAAGGAGGTGTTTTATTTTGAAACCAGGTCCCACGGTGCAGCTCAGGCTTGAACTCATCAGGTAACCCTAGTTGGCCTCAAACTCCAAGCAATCGTCCTGCCTCAGTCTCCCGAATGCTGGGGTTACCTGGCACGTACCACCACACCTAAATGATTCGTACAAATAGAAAACACCTTTTTCATCATCCCCCTGGCTCTCAATGCACCCCCCCAAACTCTCTCCATCCCTATGATTCATTCCCACACGACCAGCTTTGGAAAAGTAAACCAGCCATTACACCATTAGGACTTGGCTGGAAGAGTAGGTTTGAACCGCCGGGTAAGTTTCATTCCGATTTTCGCCTTTCCCCCAGGACACATTGCGTGTTTCACTGCCACCAACAGCAGCCAGCATCTTTCATCAGGTCTTCACCCTGGATTCTGGGGCTTTATTAGCAAATGAAAATGGCCCCCATCCAGCAAACATCAAGGGGGTCCCAGCAAGAGCGGGACCAAGCATTTCCTGTGCAGCCTGGCCTCAGACAAACCAGTTTGAAGAGAGGCCAATTGGCTGGACTCGAGCTCCCGGCAAGCTATTTTTGACATAAAAAGAAGCTGAATTAAGCTGATAACTGATTAAAGAAATTTTAAGCACTGCGAGGTGGGGTTTTAATGTCTTGGCATAGAGACCAAGGAAAGACACTAGATTTGACCAGGCAAGTTATTTTGAAAGCAACTCAAATCCCAGAAAGCTACCAAATGTTCATCCAACAGTTGCCAGATGGAATTCATTCATTTTTCTCTTTTCCATCTACTACCTAAACCTGTTTACGTATAGGGAAACAAAGTCTTCCTATTTCTATAAGCCTGAAGAGGGCCCATCATTGAAGAAAATTCCATTAACAATACAGTACGATTGCTGGGGATTTAGCTCAGCAGCATCAGCACCTGCCTGGCAAGCACAAGGTTGTGAGTTTGATCCCCAGTACAAAAAAAAAAAAAAAATACTGTATTATCATGTTCTCTCCTAAAATAAACTAATTTCAAAAACTCAGACAAATGTTTCTGGAATAGAAAATATACAGAACAGAAAAATTGTTTCTAGATGTCCAATCTTTTTTTTTTTTTCAGTTTTAGGGGTTGATCCCAGGGTCCTCACAGAGCTACATCCCCAGTTCCTTTCTTATTTTTTTCTTTTAAAACAGGATTTTACTAAAGACATTTAAGTTGGGCTGAAACTTGCAATCTTTCTGCCTCAGCCTCCCAGAGTACAAAGATTACAAACTTTGCCACTGTTCCCAGAATGACTCTATGTTTTGACCCTCTGCTTTTTTGTGTGTCTTGTATATATAGAGTGATTTGAGCCTGTATAAAATCAGACTACAGCTAAGAATTGTTTGATTACAGCCTAATGATTTTTTTTCAGCTTGAGAATATTTCCCCTCTAGCAGCGTCTGGCTGTATAACATGACAGTTAACTGTCTTACTGCTGTTTGGGGACAGTGACCCGTGATTGCATGTTGACCACCTACAGCTCCTCTCTTCTGGACCTCAGCCTTGACAAGCTGGTCCCCTGTTCCCCTGTCACAGAAGGAACACCAAGACTCAGCAAGAGGAGAGCAGGCCAGGTCCACACGTGTCAGAGATTCAAGAGGCTGAGGCAGGAGGATCAGAAATTTCAGGCCAGCCTGGGCAACTTAGCCTGGACGTGTCCCCAACTAGAGCAGTGGCTGGGGATGTGGCTGAGTGGCCTGGTTTTGATACCCAGCGTGTGCACACGCGCACACACACACACACACACACACACACAAAATCCAACAATCCACTGACAGAAAAAATAATGACCTTGAGCTACATCTTTAATTTTGTGTGACTCAGTTTTCTAATGCAAATAATGAGGGTAACACATAGCACCTATCTCAGAGGTGCGAGGGTTAGGTGACTGAGTTTACTGCATAAGCTGATTAGAGCACTGTTCAACTCACAGAAAGTTCAACAAATGTATGAGCCACAAGTTTATTATGTAATAGACCAGTATATAGCAATTAAAAGGAAAATGATTATATTCATATAAAATTTGCAGTTATATAGCAAAACAAATTAAACCCAGAAATAAGCAAATTGTAGACCTGCCCAAAGTGGTGGCACACACCTGGAATCCCAACCCTCCGGAGGCTGAGACAAGAGGATTTCCGTGAGTCTGAGGCCAGCCTGGACTACAAAGTGAGTTCAAAGCCAGCCTGAACTGCGTAGGGAGACCCTGTCTCACAGACTCCCAAAAAAACCCAAAAAAAACAAAAAGGCTTGTAGAATATTACATATTCATGAGATGTATGCAAATTTAAAACTACAAACCTAACCCTTGTGTTACCTACAGAGAAGGGATTATTTTATAAAGTACACAAGTGCACTGTGGATCACTTACCAACGTACTGGTACTAATTATCTTTAAAAAGAGGGACAAATACAGGAGGATGTCCAGAAGGAAAAACCCTTCCACATGATACTACTTTGCTTCTGTTATTAAAAATAAAGATTTGAAATGAACATGACCACGTGTTAATATGTGTTTATCTGGGTGAGTACACAGTACTTGACATCCTGACCTATGTACTTTTCCATATTTAAACAAATTTTTTTCCAGTATAAAGAAAAATGCCACAAAGTTTATGTTTATGTTACTGTGAGAAGTAAACACACACACACACACAGCATATTTAGGATCCTGGTCTCCTATTTTTTTGGCTTCTTTTCATGGTAAAGAGAAGGGCCACATTTTATTTGCTAATGACCAAAAGAAAAAACAAGTGCCTTTCACCACCTAGGTACGCAGTGACATTTTGTAAGCTCTACGAAGGTCCTTTTCTGAACACATCCCGGGGAAGGGCTTAGCATCCTCTGTCCTGTCTGTCAGGTGCCAGAACCCTCAGCGACAGCCTGACATACAGACCCAAGTGAGCAAGCGATCGGCACGTACATTCCGTCACCACCAACCACCAAAGAAAGCTGGGATATCGCCTCTTCCGACCACATTTGATGCCCAGTTAAAACTCAATTTAAGTAATGAATGTTTGGTCACACATCCAAAAGGGTGTGAATTTTTATCTAGAAGAATTCATTTCCAAAGTCAACAGGGTGTAGCTTGTGCATAGCGTAGTCTTCCATGTGGAAACGACACCCAGCTTTTAATAGGACCACAGATATTTTCAAGCTGAATGCAAATTTCCTTCCTCACTGAGGTCTGCCCACATACAGAGTGGCGGGATTCTGGGGTTCAGGCATTTATTTCCAGTGCTAAGGTGACATGCACATGCAGGTACACACACATGGGCACACACACATGCATGCACAGAGTCACAGGGGATTCCAGCTCTGCATTACACAGCACCTCCTCCTCATTCCACAGAAGAGGCCAAGATCAGAGAATTTCAAGTTTTCCCCTTCTCCAGCATGGCGAGTTGTAAGACTCCCCTGCTGAGGGGAGAAACAGTTCTCCATCATTTGTCTAGAAATGGGTCTAAAATACTGTCACCTAAACCACCCTGGAGAGAACGCACAGCCACGCATCAGGACAAAGGCACGACTGCTCCTTGGTGTCTTGACAGCTAAGCTGTGAAGACAAAAACCCCAGATGCTTTCAATTCTGATAGCAAACCTCTAAGGCAGACGTCAGGTCGAGGCACCTAGACCTCAGAGACCAGGACCAGGACGGGGATAAGTGGGTGCTCATGCACTGCAGCATGGCTGTGACCTGAGAGCTTGTTACTCAAACGAGGTGGGATGAGAATGTACCCAGAAAAGGATTTGTGGGGCCACTGCTAAAAGTGCCTTGGAAGAAGCCAGAGAAAGGGGCTGAGCAGGAGATGTATTTTCTGCCTATAACTTCAAAATAGAATCCAGGTTAATTTGATGAGAGTAACGCAGATTTCAGCCCCTCGGTGTGTGAGCTCTGGACACCCTAGGTGCTCACCGGCTGTTTGCTGACTTAGCCATAACTTAGTTCCATCTGCTTTAAAAAATGTCATCCCTGGTGTTCTCCGAGGCCTTGGCATACTAGGGACAGATTGCACTTGGAGCTTTGGAGCCATCGTCTGCAGGAGCGAAATCTTCAGATAAGAGGAAACTTGATGACGGTCCCAAGACTCCTTCCAGGAACCTTGGCCCCACATCCGGACCTGAACGGAGAACACTTCCAAAGCCAGATTCTCACACCCCATTAGCTTTCCTGCTGGCTCCAGGATTTATGGGAACTGGGGCAGGCGCTGGACAAAGGGACAGGACTGGGGACCGACTCTCTCTGCAGCCCTGAGTACCCACGGCAGTTTCCTGTGAGCAGTGGAGACACACTTGACTCACCTCGGTCCACCTCCCCGTGCCGCACACAGCCACGATTCTGGCCAGTCCATCATCTTTGGGTTTTCATTAGAACCGGTTGACCCACTTTGCTTTGGACCTGGCTGTTCTTTTCCCAGGATTTTATTTCCATTTATTCAATTGTAAGTTGGAAAGTGATAAAATTAATGGGTGATGGGAGACTGGAAAAGTTGGGGAATGAAGAAGATGCTGACTGAAGTCAAGGTGAGTCTGGCTCTTAATCCTTTGCTTTGGGAAACAGTCTTGCTTTGACACCGTCTCTATTAGGTATGTGAGCTTGGTCTCTGAGATTTGCCTCAGAGAGCCTCAGTTTACACACCTGTAAAATGGAGCCAAGGATAACTCTCTCACAAAGCGGACATGAGGGTGAATGAGACATTTTAAAAAACAACTAACTGGCACAACCTCTGCCTGTGGCTTGTGTTCATCAGACAGGGACTATTACTCCAAAAAGCAGAGCATAAAACCTGAGGACAGCAACCAGTGTCCACTATTATTGTCTTCAACTCAGTTAAAATCACGGATAAAGGCTGGGGGTGGCTAATGAGGTCCTAGGTTCCATCCCCTGGACAACAAAACCAACATAAATAATACAGCATAGGAAAGACATGCAAACAAAAACACCTTGGAAATGGGTAGAAGGATAGAGAGTGCAAAGCAAAATCCCCTCCTCCAGACATTCAGTTGGCCATGTCTGGGGGTAACCATGGTGACAGAGCACTGTATACCCTTCTGGGGAGCCTCTACTATAGCATGCACACAACCGCGTGTCACACAGATTGATCTGCCCCTTGATTTGCTTTTATGATCTTTTACTTATAGCCTAGAAATCCTTCCGTAGCTGCTCATACAGAAAGCTTTAACCTTTTCCACAACTGCATACTACTTCTCCACAGAATTCATTTGTTTGTTTGTTTGTTTTGTTGTTTTGGTACCAGGGACTGAACTCATGGCCTTGTGCCTACCAGGCAGAGGCTTAAGCCCCTGAGCTAAATCCCCGGCCCCTGTATGATATTTCTCTATCCCTATTGCTATCATTTGCATAACCAGCTTCCCATCAATCCCCACCAAGTCATTTTCAAATTTTTCCCTTAGAGATACACTGCATAGAACAGCCTGGGACGCATGTCACTTTGCAAATGAATGGTCACATCTGCGGGATAAACACCTAGGAGGAAAAATGCAATGGCAAAAGGCAAGTGGTCTCACTGTCTTCAGGACTGTGCCACATCGCCCCTGCGGGGCACCAGTACCCATCATACCTAGGTGAGAACTCCTGCTTCTCCACACCCTCCAGTGTTTGGTGTGGACTAAGAGTTTCCTCTGTCTCAAACTTCTTAGCTGGTTCTGAGATGCCAAAGCCCTTAGGCTAAATCAGTGGCTCAGAAAATAAGAGTCCAGTAGAGGATGCAGCTCAGCAGCCTAAGCATAAGGCCCTGAGTTCGAGTCCCAATGCCAAAGAGAGAAAGAAGGGGAGAGAGAGAGAGAGAGAGAGAGAGAGAGAGAGAGAGAGAGAGAGACTGGCAACTAGCTGGCTACCCAGGTCCTTCCAGAAAGTCAGACTTAAAGAGTAGTGTATGATGTTCTGGAAAATGAGCTGCAGGGTTGCTACATGGGGATTCTTCCCTGAAATCCTCCTGGGTCGCCTGGGTCTCCTTGCCTCTAGCAAGCCCAGCCCTGGGTCCCTAGGAAGCCCAGGCTCACGTCGCCCCTGCTCGGGAACAGCAGCATTGCCGGCTGTCTGATCTGAATTGCAGTCTGTGCTCCAGGCTGGGGAGGAAGTGACCTCTGATTAATAGGAAGCTTTGGAAGGTGGATAGGGCGGAGGGTTCCGGGGGCAGCAGAGTGGTCGGAGTTAATATTCTCATCACTCGGGAAAGGGGCAGCCGTCCCCTCTTCACCAAACCGAAGCAGTGAACCAGTTGGAAGATGGATGTGGGGTGGGGGGCTCCGAGCGGCACATTACGGAACATGGAACATGAAGCTTTTCATTCACGGGTATTTATGGGTTGATATTTACCTAATAAATACAAAAATGGATGAACAGCTGTTGAGAAGGGGAACCCCCGGGGCTCCCAAGGAGGGGAGGGATAGAAATCTGTCCTGGGAAGGGAGCGAGGTGACCTCCCAAGGACTCTGATCTTGTGTGGTTTGCTGAGCTTGTTAAGATGCCTGGCTGGGGTCTCTCTTGGCATCCTAGAACAGAGAATAAGGGGCTGAGGTTTGCAGCCCCTGGGTGAAAACGTGCAGGGCAGAGGGCTGATAATGGGCATTTCGCCCGTTCCAAGGACAGAGCACAGAAAGCTGGGCTTCTGGGCTTCTGATTGATCTCTCCGCTCCTCCGGGCCCCTGCCCCACACCCCAGGCCCTCAGGAGGCTGCTAACTAAACGCAGGAGTCCTTCCCGTGGCTCTCAGAGCTTGGCCTCCCTTTGCAGATTCTCACTGAACCCGCCCGATCTGTTTTTAGTTGCCTCTGCGGAAATCAAGAAAGTTTAAGTGGACTGTAGCCCGTGCTGAGCCGAGCAATGCAGAACTCACAGAAGCACGGGAGAAGGAAAGAGAAAAAATAACAGAAGCCTGTGGTTGGAGGGAGTGAGGAGATGGATTTTGAACCAGGGCAAATGTGGAAAGAAAAATGCAGAGAAGTGGGAAGGAGGGAGCCAGAAGGGAAAGGAGGATGAAGAAAACAAAACAAAACAAAGAAAAAAAGGTGGAGTGGGAGGGCGAGGGCAGGACAGGGGGGAAATTAAAGGTACCAAGTCAAGGAAGAAAGAAGAAAGCAAAAGAAAAATAAAAGCAAAGTGAAGTGAGGAGCCGTGAAGTCAAGAGAGCTTTCTGAACTGCAGTGTCCTGGAAATTCTTCCCAAGGATCCCCTGCCTGGCGCACTGTGGCAGCCCCACGTCTAAGCTGCTCCCCAGCTTTGGTCTTGGCTAGGTGCACAAAGAGCAATTTTGGGGAGACCTAATTAGAGAGCCCCAGCATGGCCCAAAGTCCGGCTACAGGTACGGCTGGGATCCTTGGCCTGGTCCCTTTCTGGTCCCGCTGGCACCCGGAGGCCACCGGGTTGGGGACAGAAACCCAGCCCTGGTCACCACCGTCCTTCTTGCCCTGAGGCTGCCCATCCTGGGGACGAGCGGGGAACAATCTAGCCTTTGCAAGTCAATATGGGGACCTACATTCCGCCTTCCTGGAGCAGCCGGATTGATCTATCTATGATCGATCTGTGATGTAAAAACAAACTATTGTACACATTTTGATTCCATGACTTCATCCTTTAAAGTCCGATGCTATAAAATCCAAGAGGCCTGGCAATAAGACCCCCACTTCAACCCCTAGGGGCCCCGGGGCTCCCTGAAGTCTCCTCCTGTAGCAAATAATAGCGTGGAAGCTGGCCAAGAATAACTAGAAATAAACCCTGCTGGGAGTCCTGCAGCGAGCCAGTGAGCTCGGACCGAGGGTCCCTCCTAACCCCACCTGGCTCTGGGGCCCAGGGAAAGTGGGAGACGCGCCCCAGAGCCTCGCTGCTGCTGGTAAGCCTAGAACCCTGGCTGCTCCACACGGAGAGCCGCAGGCTTTTTTATCCCTGCTGCCTTTCTGCCTTTCGTAGCAGGAAAATTGTTTCGCTAAGGATCTCTGTCCAAAACAAAAAACAAAAAACCCACTTCAAACCCCAGTGACAACAAAAAACAAACGTGGCCGAGAAAAAGTTTTCTTTTTTAAACACAGCAGTTTTCTGGAGAAGACCAGAGATCTCCGGCGCTCCTCACACCCAGGGCAGCGCAAGAGCGCGCGGCGGCGTGCCCTTCACGGCTTGAATGTGCTGTGTTACGCGTGCCACCGCGCGTGTAAATGATTGTGTGCCCCAAATTTCTGCCTACAGATAAGTGTGCATAAACTCCCTAACTCTAGAGATGTAAACAACACGTGCCAAGGATTATCCTGTGCAAATAATTCCGGGTCCAAGTGCTGGAGCGACTTGGGGTTCATAAGTACCTCTATGCGCAGGCAGTTCTGTGGGTAAATTGTTCCGTATGCAAAAGATCTCGGGTGTGCGCCGAAGATTCTGCCCCTACAAACAATTGCGTGGATGTAATAGTGGTTTCGGAAAGCTCACGAAAGGGCCGGGCAATCGCTTCTCTTCTAGGCATTGGTGAGCGCACGGGTGCTTTGCTCCCTAAATTCCTGAAAGCAGCACAAACAATGCTTGCCTTGCACCCCTGCAAGGGAAGCAGGGATCTCCGGTGCCGGCGCCGACGAGAAAGCGTTTCTGGGGCCCCCTGCCTTCTCCAAGCTTATTGCCCGATAGGTCCCGCGCGTTCTCGCTACAGCGTCCTTCGGCACAGCGCCGCACCCGCTCCATCGCGGCGCACCATCTCGGTGCCTCTGGGAGCTCCTAGCCGCCCTTCCAGCGTGACCTGACCCTGCCCGGGTCTCGGTCTGCAGGAACCTTCCCTCCGGGGCTCAAGCGCCTGGAGCGGCGCCCGCGAGAGAAATCGAAAGTTCTTGCCTTTTGTCTAGTGTTACTAGGGCGCTGCAAAAAAAAAAAACCTTTAGTCTGCAACCGCGGAGATAAAGGGTGGGTGAGCCAGACCCAGAGACCGTGTGCCCCCCACGGGCAGTAAGCTGACGAAACGCGTCCAGCTAAGGCAACCGGCCTCTCCGAGCGCGCGCACACGTGTGCCCAGGATTATAATACAATATAACACATCGTAATATCGGGTATTATGCCGCGTTTACCTTCCACGAGGCTGCGTGTGTCGTGTTAGGCTGTGCTTATGTGTTTGTTACGACGTGCTGCAACACGCTCTGTCCCCACCTGCTGCCACGTGTCCCGCACCTCTCACTTATTTCGTGCTCCTCCGGGCAGGGCTCCTTTCTCCCAGTGTGCACTCAGGCCGGGAGCTCCAAGTTACCCAGCTAGAAGGGGGCAGGGCTTGGACTGCACCCACAGCCCCTGGACCAGCCTAGAGGTGAAAACCACACATCCCCGCAAGACTGCTGGACAGGAAGGTATCCTCCACCACCCACCGATGTTTGTGAACTAGCCAGACAATATACACTCATTTGATTACATTCTCCCATCTTTAAGGACAGCCACTGCTGGCCCAGCTGGCCACACTCTGCAACCCTGGGCCCAGAGATCAGGGCCAAGTGGTCTCTGGCTCGAGGGTAGGAAGAGATGTCCACAGCGTCTCCATCCAG